TCTGCAGGCGGCTGTGCCTGCAGAGAGCCCTGCTCCCCACCCGCTGCAGAGGGGGGGACAGGACCCCCGTACCTGTTCCCAGCCCCTCCATGCCTGGGATGTCGTCGCCGAATCTGCAAGGAGAGAGAGCGTCTGCCCTGACCCCCAGCCAGCCCCCACCCACCCCAGGCTGGCACGTATGGCCATGCCCCCCCGCCACTGGGGCCCTGCCATGGGTCCCGGGGCTCTGCCCCACTCACCCCTGCACCCCCTTTTTGGGGGGCTTGCTTTTGAACTGCCTCGTCTGCCTCTGCTTGAATTTGGGTGGTCCCTTCCGGGGGGTGGCAGGTCCCCCAGTCACTCTCGTGGCTGATTTGATCTCCAGCTTGGGGGGCTCCAGGCTCATGGCTGGGCCAGGGCCAGCAGCCTGCCCCGGGTCGTGGTTGTCCCTGCGGGTCCGGCGCTGGTGCGGGACGGCTCCTCACACCTGATGGAGGGGAGATATGGGGAGCAGGTGGGGGGCACCAGCTTCTCCTACTGCCCACAGGCACCCTGTGCCTCAGCTCCCACCCTGTCTTGCCCTGGGGCCCCTCAGCCGTCGCTGATCGGCTTTCCAGGCTGCCACGGAGCAGAGCCCTCTTCCCTGCGACCTTGACTAAGCCCAGCTCAGAGCCCGCTAATCCCCTTACCCCAAAGCCGGGGAAGGATGTCCTTGGGGGCAGCAGAGCTGCTGCCTCCCCTTGGGGCCGTTCCTCTAGCCCTTGCCCCCCACCCCAGCATGGATGTGACACCCGGGGAGCCCTGCGCCGGCACTGCTGGGAGCCCCCCCCACACGGCTCGCCCCAGGGTCTGTGCCGAGCCGTGTGTGCCGCAGTGGGTTGGCATCGGTGCAGCCGCAGGTGTGGGAGCGAGGCATCCCTCAGGGCTTGTTTGCAGCGGGATGGGTTTCGGGGACGGTGGGTACCCTGGGCTGCGGACCCCTGGGGACCCGTGCTGGGATGCGGGCGGCCGTGGTGGCGGGGGGGGGGAAGACG